TATATATATATATATATATATATATATATATATATATATATATATATATATATATATATATATATAGGGTAAAAATGTAATTTTATAAATACTCAATTAAGCTTATGTGCTTTTTGAGTTGTGTAATTTACTACTCGAGCTCGGCTCGAAAAGGTACTCGCGTAGCTCGAGCTCGAGCTCGACTCAATTAAAGCCAAGTCGATTTCGAGTATTTTACGAGTCGGGTCTAAGTTTCTCGTGAGCTGTCTTGTCTCATTTACACCCCTACAAGTAGGGAAGAACTGGGCATGCTACTTGAAAGATCATCGATTTTTTGAATTCATGGTTTCAGAATAATGGATTATAGGGATCTGCGGTTTGTATATGCGAGGATTTGGTTGAAGATGTGGTCAAGATGAGGTGCGATGCAAGTTAACATTTGTTGTATGTGTTCAGGAATGCACGAGTTGTCTTCGCAACAGGAAGTTGTTGGTTAGGGAGCTCTAGAAGTCGGTGGTCCCTTTCGGAGATGCCGATGAACTGGTCAAGATGTGGTTAAGTTGCTCGGGTCGAGTGTCAGTTGATAAAGAATTCGTCAGCTTAGGGTATAGATTGTTGCTATCGTTGGCATGTTAATCAACTTCATAATTTGGTATGTGTAGTTCCGCATTAGTTAGTTCTATAGAAGATTTGATTGTTGGGTAGTTACTAATGCATCCTTCATTGTTGAATGTTCTCGTTTATCATTAATGGGTGGGGATGGTTCAAAGGTTTGAGTTGTATAATTTAAGTTCAATGATCGTGACAACTTATCGTCATGTTCTGTTTATGGTATATCATAGCTTTTGGATGTGTTTCCCTGGATTTTTGGATTTTGAAATTATGGTCTATAGCAGACTCGGGTTTGTTTTGGTAGTAGGTAGAACTTTAAAGTGATTATCTATCTGTTCCAATTGTAGATCCATGGGTTTCCTTGTTATCAGTTGGGATTGTAGAAGGATGTGGAATTGTATTAGGGGAAGGTACATAGGATACAACAATATTTGTCGAGAGTAGTAAAGTGCTTCATCTGTTTTGGGGTGTGAACACCCAATAATGTTTGGTCATGGGATCTTAGTTAGTGGTTGGATAGGGAGATTGTAGGATGGCTTGGTATTCTAATGATCACGAGTTTTATAAAGAATGTAGATTAATGCAAGTGAAGGATGATCACTTGGGACCGTCGGGGATAGTTCCAAGTGCGAGTTATGTTAGAATTTGTACCTATGTTAGGGATTTGGATTGTGAGTGTGGATTAGACTACTGTTTGGCTAGTGAGGGCTTGAATGGCTAATCGAGTGGTGCGGATAATATATTGTTTGATTAAGGATTAATTGGAAAGACCAGTAAACATGGTATCATCATATGTCAACTAGAGAGCCAGTTCTAGTTGCGAGAGGGTTCAGGGTTAAGCAAGGAATAGTGTTATTTGGTCAGTGACGAACATCAAAGAAAATGATATTGATGTGATGTAAGACTGCAGTGAAGTCGTAGCATTCACCAGGTTAGCGTGTGGTTGTGGATGTGATGTAAGAATGTGGCGCAGCCGTAGCATTCACCAAATTAGCGTGTGGTTGTGGATGTCATTTAAGACTGTGGAGTAATCGTAGCATTCACCAGGTTAGTGTGTGGTTGTGGATATGGTGTAATACTATGGAGCAGCCGTAGCATTCACCAGTTTAGTGTGTGGTTGTGGATGTGATGTAAGACTACAAAGCATCTGTACCATTCACCAGGTTAGTGTGGGGTTGTGGATGTGATGTAAGACTGCGGAGTAGCCATAACATTAGGTTAGTGTGTGGTTGTGGATGTGATGTAAGACTGTGAAGCAGTTATAGAATTCACCAGGTTAGTGAGTGGTTATGGAAGTGATGTAAGACTGCGAAGCAGCTGTATCATTCACTATTAAAACTATAAAACCTTAAAACCTTAAAACCTTAAAACTATAAAACCTTAAATCTAACTCTAATTAAACAACAAAGAACATACTAAGGGGTGTTCAGTTAAGCTTATTAAGGGTTTATTTTTTGAGCTTATTTTTTATAAGCCTTTTTTTTGACTTATTTTCCAAGTAAAAAGCTTATTATAACTTACACTATGAAAATAAACCAATCTCATAAAAAAAATAAGCTAGAAGAAATGAACTTATAAAAAGTAAGCTCGAAAGATAAGCCTTTATTAAGGTTAGCCAAACACCCTTAATACAACCTTACTACCCATTATATGATTTTGAAACAAAGACAAAGAGTTTGAAACAAAGACAAAAGGAAATATGATTTACCCTAATAATTTGACAAAATGGAAATTAGTAAATAAGTTTTCTAGCCATGTTGCTAGTGCTAGGGCTTAGGGGTATTGTGTATGACATAGACTTTTCGTGTACTGCAATAATCAAGTAAGGGATAGGGATAGGAAAAACCCCGAACCCAATGGGGAAACCCAAAACACGATTATTTCGGGTCGAGTAACGGGTCATTGTCAGGTTTTGTATCGGATTCGGTGCAGGGAGTGGTTCATCCTCGCCCTGTCCCGATTATATATATATATATATATATATATATATATATATATATATATATATATATATATATATATATATATATATAATATGTTCGAAACCTTGTAATGTTGATTGCATGCGTTTAAAGATAAAATACTTATTGTGGACCATCTTTTTAGTTATTAAAAATTTGGTGTGAATGATCATTTTTTTTTTTTATGTTTTGACGCATTACACTAAACTTAAATTAAATAATTTTTAATATAACGCCCAATTTATTTTATTAAAGTGATCCATCATATTTTTACTTTAAAATATATGCTAGAACATGTATTTTTTTATAAGATATCGGAATACTCTAAAATGGAATAAAGATTTAATTATAAATTGTTGTAAACCCGATAAGATACCCAAAACCCAACGGAAAAACCCAAAACCCAATGGGGCGCCCCGATAAGATATCCCAAAAATATCGGGGCGGATTTGGAAAACCATGCCCCGCCCCGTACCCCGTCTCGTTGTCATTCCTAGTAAGGGAGAGACAGTGCTAGGCTTTTGAACTTTTCAGATTTTTTGTTTTAAGCTACAAAGTAAAAATGAGAGACAAAGGAAAAAAGGAGGAAGCCACAACCGAAGACAGAGAGTAAAAATGAGAGACAAAGAAAATGGTGGATATGTACAGCAGACCATTCTACCCGCGACAAGAAAATAACAATCGGTTGCGGGAGATGGTAGAGCATGACGACTGTGACCAAAGAGCAAAAATTATGTAATTTTTCTTAGGGTATTATGGCTTTTTTAAGTTTTTAACTTTTACTTTATCTTCCATGTCATTTTTTATTTCTTTACTTCTTTATTTCCTCTTATTTTCTGTTTCCTAATTTTTTTTCTAACTGTTTCCATTTTATATTTTTTACAATTATATATGCATTATTGATTTGGTTTGGTTAAAGAATTTGTTGCGAGGCTCATGTATTACATAAATTAATTTAAAAAAATAAATAAATATAATTATCAAAATATTTGATAACATTGAATTTATAAGAAAATGAGAGAATAATGAATTGTTATAATGGTGATGTTTTTTATCTTTTAAATTTAAACAAATAATTTAAATAAAGAAAAAAACTAATAAACTTTATTTTAAAATTTTAAAATTAAAAGATAAGTTTATTAATAAAATTAATATCAATTTATTATTATATTTATTATAATTATTATATTAAAATATTATGTGAAATTCAATAAAATTAAAAAAAATCATAAAATGACGTGCGAAAATAAAATTAATTCAAAATAACCATAAAATAACATTTAAAAAATTGAATGAGAGTGCGATAAGTAAAAAAACAATATTTATTTATTAGAGAGGATTTATCATGTCTTTCTAAAAGAATCACACGTGTACTGTCTAAATAAAATTTCAAAGTAACTTATGTATGTACCAAATAATATAATTTTGACAAAATTGTACGAATGGTCCCTGTGTTATGTCCAAAAATACTATTTTGGGCCAAACAGGTTTGGATTAGCACAAATAATCCAAAGGTTTTCATTTTCCTACGTTTTTGGTCCAAAACAGTTTAAAATTTCTAAAAATGATGAATTTGCCCTTTTCCATTTGTTTTTTCTTTCCTTTTTGTTATTTAATTATTTTCTAACTAAAAAATATTAAAAATAAAAGAAAATCTCTCTCTCTCTCTCTCTCTCTCTCTCTCTCTTTCTCTCTCTCTCCTTCCCTCCCCCTCTCTCTCTCTCCCGTTCATCACCCTATACCACCCACACAAACACCACCGTCCAACACCACCTTCAATCACCCAAGACCTCCCTCATTCCTCAATTATCACCATTCCTAATAGTTGCAAATGTAAAAAAAAAGAGATAAAATAAGGAGCTGCAATCGATTCAGAAAGGAGAAAAAAGAAAACTGTAATCGAGTTTAGAAGAAAGAGAAGGAGGGTGCGACTTTGGGTGACTGTGTTTGTCGATTGGATTTTGAGAAGTGAAGGGGAGTTCCGATTTCTAGTGTGAAACCCTTGTTGTCGATCTAACCTTGTTGGTGTTTCAAGGTTCGGTTTTTTCGATCTAACCCTTGTTGGAGCTTCCTGTTAAAGCAAGCCCTAGCACCAACCAAAATCGAACTTGAATAGAAGGATTAAGGCTTGAATCTAATAAGATACCTTGTATTGTTGAGGAATTGACTTTGCTTAAGCATGAATTAAAGGAAATTAGGGGTAAACGAGGCTTGATATGTCCGATTAGGAGTTAAATTGGGTTGCAAACTGATCTTGGAAGAAGCTAAGTTGAAAACTGATCTTGCCCCTACAGCAGATTCATAACCATCATTGGTATCAGAGGTGGCACCTACAGAACCTGTTCCATAATCAAACTTTGAGATCTGGGTTAAATACACACACTAAAAAGGAACTCCGGATCACATTCAAAGAAGATGAAAATGGTGTGTTCTGAACAGAAAAGAAAAATGGTTACTGAGATCGATGGAGGAATAAGGAAGAACGAATGGAAGCAGCTTGAGGGTCGAAAAGAGATTAATACAAAAGGGAAAATGGTGGATGTCGTCGGTTCTTTTTCTCCGCTGAACAGTGTCGATGGTCCTGTTTGCGATCGATCGAAGGCTTGCTTCAGTTGGCCATGGCGGCAGTTTGGTGGTTATTTAGTCGGTCTGCCATTAAAATGGAAGGAAGACGAGAGGTTAGGTTGAAGAAGGCAACAAATTCGATGGTTGCTGGGTTTTTCTGGTGATTGGAGAGAGAGAGAGAGAGAGAGAGAGAGAGAGAGAAAGAGAGTTTCTTTTATTTTTTATATTTTTAGTTAGAAAATAATTAAATAACAAAAAGAAAAGAAAAAACAAATGGAAAAGGGCAAATTTGTCATTTTAAAAAAAATTAAAATGTTTTGGACCAAAAACGCAGCAAAATGAAAACTTTTGAACTATTTGCGCTAGTCCAAACCTGTTTGGTCTAAAGTAGCATTTTTGGACGTAGCACACCATTCTTGCAATTTTGTCTATAATTTTAAGAAATATGTAACATTTGATTGTGTTTTGCTACTTATTTCGAATGCGAATTACATCGGGATTTTATAAGAAATGGCAAAAAGAAAACCCTATTTCGGATGTGCTGAAATTTTAATAGTTTGTCGTTGAATCATATCATGTGCATGCCCAGTCGTAATATTCTTTGGAGGTTATATTCCATCGTTCGCCGGATCAGAACGGCGACTATTTTGTCACCGTAGTGCAACCACCGGTGTCCCATTCCGGTTAATCTCCGATTTGCAGGTACCACCTGCACGAAGAGTTGTGGTATACGTTCGAATTTAACTTTGAATTTTTCTTTACTAGTATATATCATGGCTCTATTTGAAAAAAAAAACCGAAATTTTGTTCTAGAATTCAAATTCCTATAAGAAAAAGTCGTCTTCTTAACGACAATAAGCCATTATCTGATGTGGTTATCAATTTTTTGTGGCAATTAGGTGGAGTCGATCCCGGCGTTGATGTAAAATTTTGTGAAGAAAAAGTTAATTTGTTTCTCAACTCCTGAATGGAAGCATAATCAAGCAACTCTACCTAGTAACTAGGTATAATTCATCCAGTTGCAAAATCGTTGCTACATTTTCATTTTATCTGTTAAGCAGTTTCTTTTCCTTTAACATTGATGAATTTCAACTTCTCTGAAAAACATTGCACATTAAATGTTCAGTTAGCGTCTTAGTGAAATTCCTGTTTGTAGATTTTGTATCTGAAATGTACCAGGTTGGCAAACACGAAGATAATATCTTTTGATCCCCCAATCCAAAAATATAAATCCGTTCTTCTATTTTAAAAGTGTTGGAGTTAATCTTGAATATTTTTTACACAAAACACACACAAACATTTTGATTAACTCCATAGAAAATTACATAATACAAAGACACACACATATATATATATATATATAGGCAAACTTCCAACCACTGCACCATTTCATACATCTTACTGTTGTACCCAAACTACCCCTAATAACCATATTAAACTAACTATACATAACTAATCATAACCTCCATCAACCAAATTTTCTTGTTCTAATAATCTTTATATGGTTAAATGAGATTATCATTTTTTCCTACACAAGAAGCAATTAGTGATTAGTTTTTTAAAAGATGAATGCAGGCTTTTTTTTTTTTTTTTTTTTCTGTGGATTGAAAGTTGTAAATATGTTCTTTTGAAAAGGATGGAGCTCTAGGTTACATTTTGGAGTGTTGTAGCTCCAAAGCGTTGGTTGTGTCAGAGGGTGTGAAGTTGTCTGTTTATAGGATCACAGGGGCATTTTGGTAATACAAAATGGCTGATGCACAAGAGATGTGGTGCCTTGTGACTGGAGGAAGAGGGTTTGCAGCAAGGCATTTAGTGGATATGCTGATCCGTTATGATATATATGCAGTTAGAATTGCAGATATTGGGCCTGATATCAAGCTTGAAAGCCATGAAGAGAGAGGAATTCTTGGGCAAGCTTTATCCTCAGGTCGTGCTCAATATGTATCCATGGATCTTCGCAACAAATCTCAAGTATATAAAGGTAACCTTGTTGCTACATCCAAATACTAAATTTACAGATGTAAATCTATTGTGGCTTCTTAGATTTCACATTCACTTTTGTTTGTTGTGAAGCTTGTCAAGGGGTTGAAGTTGTTTTTCATATGGCTGCTCCAGATTCATCAATCAATAACCACCAGCTGCATTATTCAGTCAATGTTCATGGTAAAAACACTTTTAATATTTATATATAAACATTTTACTTTTTAATAATGACTTGTTGTTGTTTGATGATCTACAGGCACAAAGAACATAATTGATGCTTGTAGTGTGTTAAATGTGAAAAGGCTTATCTATACTAGTTCTCCTAGTGTCGTGTTTGATGGGATACATGGAATACTTGATGGGGTTGAAGCAATGCCATATCCTGCCAAGGTATTCTTTCCATCAAGACACCATATATATGTCAGAAGAAAAATCATTTTCTTTTTTTCTTATATTAACAAAGAGGTGCATTATAATGTTTCAGCATAATGATTCATATTCTTCAACTAAGGCTGAAGGAGAGGCATTAGTTATCAAGGCAAATGGCATGAATGGACTTTTGACATGCTGTATTCGTCCTAGCAGTATTTTTGGTCCTGGTGATAAGTTGCTTGTTCCATCTTTAGTTGCTGCAGCAAGAGCAGGAAAATCAAAGGTAACAGATTACATTTTTTTTTTCTTAATTTGTTTCTTTGATAATTTATATTAGATTGACTTTATGCATGATATGTTACAGTTTTCTTGTTATCTACAAATGACATGATCTTACATGAATACATATAAACATAGACTTAATTTATGAATTATGAACTAGCAGTTTATGATTGGGGATGGAAAGAACATGTATGATTTCACTTATGTTGAAAATGTGGCACATGCACATGTATGTGCTGAAAGAGCTCTTGCATCAGGAGGCACTGTATCAAAGAGAGCTGCAGGCGAGGTAATACTTAATTTACTTGTATAATCATGATAAAAAAAAAACACATGTAGTGTTTGTAGATTTGAAGTATCTCATACGTTAAAAGCTATCTATTTTCATGTTGATTTTCCAGGCTTATTTTATAACTAACATGGAGCCGATCAAGTTTTGGGAGTTCATGGGACTTATTCTTTCAGGGCTTGGCTATGAAAGGTATTATTTGGAGTAGATTGTTATGTTGTCTTTATTTCTGATATAATGTAGTTTACAGGCCACAAATCAAGATTCCTGCTTTTGTGATTATGCCAATTGCTCATTTAGTAGAGCGTATATATCTGAGGTTAACACCCTATCATGGGATGAAGCCACCACAGTTGACACCTTCAAGAATCAGACTCCTCACTTGCAACACAACTTTTAGTTCTTTAAAAGCAAATGATCGACTTGGCTACAGACCTATTGTACCACTTCAGGTTCTCACTCATTTCCCATTCACATCTTTTATTCCTAACTACCTAAAACTACGTAGTTTTGAGTAAAAAAAACAATAACTCGTTCTCTTGATTTGTTGCAGGAGGGTGTGAAAAGAACTGTTGACTCGTATGCTTATCTCAGAGCTGAACTTTGGCATAGTAAGGAAAGACCTTCTAAAGCAGCTGTATGTCTTGGAAATGGAATTGGTATGGGATTTTGATTAATAATCTAATTAGTTTTTTTCATAGTTGAATTTCATTTTATTTTGTTGTTTATGGGTTGCAGTTGCAGACATACTTCTATGGAGGGATGCAAAAGTGACAATTGGTGCAATGGTGGTTTTGTTTGGATTCTATGTCAATTTTGTAGTACCTGGACAAACCATGATTACTTCCATCTCCAAAGTCTTCATCATAGCAACCATTTTTTTGTTTATCCATGGGAGGTTGCCAAATAGCTTGTAAGTATCCTCTAATCTAATTAAAATAGTATGCTATAAATACAAAAACTTGTAACCCAATGTTTCCTTCTGTTTCAGCATGGGATATTCAATTGACAAAATTCCAAAATCAAAGTTTCAGTTCACAGATAAATCATACCACCAAACTGTTTTATCAGTGGCTTCTTCATGGAATCATGCAACTAATAGTCTAAGATCTATTTCCAGTGCGAGTGACTCAAGGATATTCTACAAGGTACTTATTTCCATTGTATAAACTCTATTCAACTTGTTGTTTCAATTTTTGGCATATAATCTTTAATCTACATTTATTATTTTGTTTATGTACTTCTTTGTGTTTTATCCTTTCATATTTCTAAAAACTTGTTTTGCTTTCATGATAAATAGACGGTTATATCACTCTTCGTGCTTGGCTTGATTGGATCATTGTCACTTCAAAGTTTCTTTTCCAAAGGTTCGTTCTTCATCTTTGCTAGGATTATTTTTTATGACAACAAGGGCGTTTACGTCTTTTGTACTAAAAAGATATCAGTCCCAAACAAGTTAAATCTCAATTCACTACAAACAAGTTGTTTTCATTTTTTGCAGTGATTCCCTTTGCCTTTGTTGCTTTCTACCTTTATGAGCAAAAGGAAAACGAAATCGATGAATTTCTTGAAAAAGGTGTCCCGATCAAACGCTTGTCAAATTCCTTCTTTCCAAGATTTTTTAATCCTTCCAAGCTCATTAACAAACGTGAGTAGTTGAACTGTTGACTCTTACAAAGTTTGATCACATCTCATTCGGGCATCAGTATATCTAAAATTGCACGTCTTATAATACAAAAAAAAAAAAAAAGTATCATAAGACGACAAAAGCGCCCCATACTTTCTATTTTTATGGTTATATTTATGTTAAGCATGTTGAATGGCTCTATTGTATTTGTTGTATGGAAGTCGTGCTTCATTAGGATTGACAGATGTTTGAGTTGGCTCATACTGTTGAGTATGATATGAGATGTAAATCAGATACATAGCAGTATAAAAAAGCCTAGTTCCTTCAAGAAGGCCAATTTGTATTGGAATTAAAACTCACATTGTAGTTAAGAATCGAACTTTTGAGACCATTTCTGTGAATATACCACCTTGAAACCATGTCATATACGTTTCCAATGATGATTTTGGATTAAGCACGTAACATTTTAATGATTTATTTGTTCATTAAAGATGCATTTAGAAATTTAAGCGTAATTTTATGTCAAAAAAGTGTGATTCAATCATCCATTTTGAGATGTGAACCTTCATTTAACTTGGTAACTATGATTACACGAGCATATTATAGGGCCTACATAACTGGACCACAATGGTCGATACTCGATAGTGCACAAATTGGATTCCTAATCATCGTGGGTTAAAGTAGGCCACAGTCCATTAGGTTCCATTATGATGGTGGGTAAACTAAATACTAAATAGTGGGCACCCTTTTGTTGTTACCCAAATGCGAGGACTACGTTTTTTTAGAATATTTTACAAAACAGAAATTCCTATAAATGGAGAAAACATTATGTATGATAATAACATTTTAGATGTTATTGAAAAAACCTTGACTTTTTTATAATCTTACATTAAAGCGCCCTAACATTATATGAATTAAATTGGTGATAAGATAGATGATGTTAAATTAATTGGCATTGTTTTATATGCTTGAGTACTTTTGCATTAAAAATATTATTTTATACAAGTTAGTTTCTTATAAAAAAAAAAAAAACCATTAAATATGGAAGAAAAACAGAAGGGTATATGCTAGGAATGGATAATTTTATATTTGTTTGGAGGTACTTGTAATTTTGTCAAAGTCAACTAGGTAGGTATAGCCTTTAGAGTTTCATAGCATTTGTTATACTATACCATGCTTTATTTTCCTTTATTTTGTAAGTATTATTTTACTATTTGCAGACTCGATGAGCTGCCGGTTGCGTATGCAGAGTAAAGCTGAACAAGAGTCCATAAAATAATAAAATAAACATAAAATATAAAATTGATTTTTCAAATAAAAATATGGAAATGAGACTCTCTCCCAAATCCCAAGTTAGGGATGTCAACGGGACCAAACGGGAGCGGGAGTAGCTGCCCCGCTCCCGCCTCCGAAATCAATTGTTGCCCCCGCTTCCGGTCCCGCCCCCGGCTCCCCCGTTTACATAGCCCCCGGTCCCGCTCCCGGTTACCTCCATCACCCCCAGTCCCGTCCCCGTTCCCCCGGTTCCCCCCGCTTAAAATTCGTTTTTTTGCTAAACGACTATTTTGTGTTAGGCTAAAAAGCTTGTTTTTAATAACTTTAAAAGTTTAAAACATAATCTTTTAGAAACTAAACAATTAAAAATTCAACATTACGAATTCAATATTACAAAACGATAATTCCATCAATCTTAAAAATATAAAATATGACAAATCCAATATTACAAATATAAAATACTTACATATCCAAAAATATATGATCAATTCACTACCTCTTCAATATCTATTAATTGAAAACGGGAAACTGAAACCTAACCTACACTTAAAATTAGAAAATCTATTTTGTATATGTATTTTATATTAAATTTATATTTTTTACATAAATGTACAACCGGGGCCCCGCGGAAGTACGGGACGGGAATACCAACTCCCGCTCCCGGTCCCGAAAATAAGCGGGGTTTAATTTTGCCCCCACTCCCACTCCCGCTCCCGGTTTTTTTAAAAATTTAGTTCCATACGGGATCGGGATCCCACAGGAGTGGGGTTCCACGGGGTTTTTTCCACACACGTCTTTGGAGTTTGGATGTGTGTTTTGT